TAAAATAAAGGCATACATGCGTCCACTCAGGATTCTGAAGTCTCTGGGAAGAGATACTTTGCTGGTATTGTTTGAGCAGGGAGTGTAGGAAAGAGGAGCAAAAAACAGAGAACAAAGTGAGACAACATTTGTATAAGCCGTTGGTAATGCAACCCTAGAAAAAGAGAGAGTGATTGAGGGACATTGTGTGAAAAGGTTGCTCTGATGTTTTATTCTTTACATTTCCAGGAAAACAGGACTTTGTACATTGTTTATAAATAAACATCATTTCATCCAGTTACATTCACCATTCGTTTTTCCCAGATAAGAGAATTTATAAGATCCCTAATTTTTTACTTGCCATTTGGGTCCAAAATGAGTGATTTGCTTTTTAGATAGTGTTAGATTTAGTTTAGTTAGCTGAACCATTTCATTATCTCAGGTATTGAAGTCTTGCTCCAGTTAGATGATACTTGGTCAATGCTTAAGAGCTTGGTGCTTTTTGATCTCATGCTTGTACAGAAGCTTTGATGTTTCACATGTGCATAATTTATTTAACTCAAATGGCAATCTTTCACATGCTTTAAAATGTCTCAGTACTATGTTAATTATTCACTTATGGCACATTTTTCTTCTAAGTAAGATATTTTTTATGATAAGAAGTATATACTGAAAATGGCATCACTGCCTTTTTTGTTTTAATCTGATACCACCATGTGTTATTACATCTTTCCACCATTTTTCATTCCACTCATTTGGGACAACAAATGAACCAGTCAGTTTCTGTTCCTGGTTCCCATGGTTTTACATAATTTTTTTTTGTTTCTAATGTTATGGGAATGTTTTAATCCAAACAAGACAGCTTTTTTCTAAAATTAAATTAACTCACAGTCCTTTCTGTATTTTCTAATCCTGTTTTTCCAATTTCTCTCTCCCAAACAAAAATCTAAATGTTGAGACAAAGTGACTTGTCAGTGTCCCTTTAAGATACTTGGAAGATGTGACAGGTGCTGCAATAATTAGTGTCAAAGACAAGGATGGCTAAAAGGAAAATAGGTGATGATTCTTTAGAGATGCACTTAATGTTCTTGGCCCTGCCCCTGTTTCCCGATATAATCAGCATCATGTTTTAAACTTGTCTTACCCCAATACAGACACATAACTCACACTAACATGGCTGCAGGAATTTAAAAAATGCCAATGTTGAAATACTTTGGCTCCATTGGCTGCGTCCAGACATGCACGGCCATGCGGTACATGGTGCCACAGCACCACACATCGCACATTCAGGCATTCCCCATGCTGCTAACTTGCAGCGCCGGGTGGGGTGGAGGGGCTGTTTGACCCTGGGAGATCTCAGGGACAAAAAAACCCACATGGAAAAAAAGCAGGGTTGCACATGTGGCAGCAGCATACGCTGCCCAAAACCAGAGCCAGACTCCCAGATACAGAAGTGCCGCAGCTGCAGCTTCCCCGGCCCCTAGGATCCCAAAGAAGGCTGCTGGGGCCAGCACAGTAGCTGTCCCCAGCCTCCCCTACCCCACCTGGGGTTAACCTGCTGCATGCCAGAGCATGTGTGACACAGGCATTCCCCAGGGACAAGTACCAGTGGCACAAGGTGTGCCACTGCAGCTTGTCCCGGGTGAACCAAACATCTGCACTCATCTGAACACAGCCATTGACTTCAAAAGGGAAAAGAATTTAGGCCAACATTAGAGCACTTTTTCATCCCAGCCTGTGTTTTATAGAGTCCTCGCCCTCCACTTAAGGAATGTCTGAGATTAGATTGCACCCAGCACTCTACTTACTGAAAGATGAAGAAGGAAATCATTTTAAACACTTCGTTTTTTATGGTGTACATTTCGAATCAATGCACCCCCTTGTTACTTTTATCTGCTATGTTTAATATTGGCTTCTGAGCTTAGTGCTTATACCCTGCTAATTACTATTTTATTGCCACAGAAAATTAACTGTTTACCAACCAATAACATTTTCTAATAGAAATGTGAATGCAACCATAGAGGAGCAGATACTAAATCCCATACAAACTTGTAAATATACAGAGACCTATTATAATTCTTACCAATTCAGAGCAGTAGAACATGGTGATACTGATTGAATTATCGAACAACAAATATTTCCTGTAGTTATGAGACAAAGATGATACAAATTCAGAGAGCATGGAGGTAAAGGCATCACTTAACATATTTCCAGCAAATAGATTCCAGTTCTCAGTGTATCAATATAAGCATTTCAGTCCTAAGTAACAACAGTCTATATTAATCACATTTCTGCTTGCAGGTTTATTCTATTTAATTGTATTAGAAAACTGTACATCATGTTTTTCTATTGCTGGGTGATGTCAGACATTATATAGCTGCAGGCAGTGGGACAGCGGAGCACTTTTGCCAATTTAAATAGATTATTTTCCTATTCTTTTAGTATTTTTTAATAGGCTCTTATATAATATAAAGAAACAATATAGAAATGGGAGGTAGATAAGCATTTGGATATCTATGGCTAACTGCGAACTCCACACAGTTGAAGACATCCAGACATACATAGGCCATTGTAAAGGTCATGCGTATATCCCTGCTGGTGCTTTTTTTCATAGATTTCATAGACATTAGGGCTGGAAGGGACCTCAGAAGATCATCGAGTTCAGCCCCCTGCCCCAGGGGCAGGAAGTGAGCACAGGTCATAGGATCCCAGCAAGATAAACATCCACATTTCTCTTGAAGGTGTTCAAAGTAGGTGCTTTAACCACCTCCGGCAGCAGTCTATTCCAAACCTTGGGGGCTCAGACAGTAAAGAAGTTCTTCCTTATGTCCAGCCTGAAATGGTCATGGAGGAGTTTGTGACCATTTGACCTTGTCATCCTTTGGGGCGCTCTGGGACACTCTGGTGAACAAACGTTCCCCCAGATCCTGGTGAGCACCTCTGATAAACTTATAGGCAGCCATCAGATCACCCGAGCCTGCATTTTTCCAGGCTGAATAGCCCCATGGCTCTCAGCCTCTCATCGTATGGTCTGTTTTCCTGACCTCTGATCATGCACGTAGCTCTCCTCTGCACTCTCTCAAGCTTCTTCACACCCTTTTTGAATTGAGGAGTCCAAAACTGGACGCGGTACTCCAGCTGTGGCCTCACCAAGGCCCAGTACAACGGAAGAACAATGTCCTGGGACTTACTTGAAAAGCATCTATGGATGCAAGCCAGCGTTTTGCTTGCTTTACTAGCCGCAGCATCACATTGAAGGCTCATGTTCATCTTGTGGTCAATCATGACCCCCAAAGTCCCTTTCATTCGTAGTGCAAGCCAGCGTAGCATTACCGAGCCTATAGGCATGCTGCAGGTTTTTCCTCCCAACGTGGAGAAACTTGCATTTTTCGGTGTTAAACACCAGCAGGTTCTTGTCCGCACATTTGCTGAGCCTGTCAAGGTCAGCCTGGATTGCCCTCCTGTCTTCAGGTGTGGATGCTTTACCCCAAAGTTCAGTGTCATCGGCAAACTTGGGGAGTCTGCATCTGATGCCAATGTCCACATCATTAATGAAAATGTTGAACAATACAGGCCCAAGGACACAGCCTTGGGGGACCCCACGGGTCACAGGGCACCATGACGATTGACTTCCATCAACCACCACCTTCTGGGTGTGACCACAGAGCCAATTCCCCAGCCAGCGGATCGTGGTGAAGCTGAGGCCGCAGTTGGCCATTTTTGCTAGGAGGTGATCATGGGATACCAGATCAAAGGCTTTTTTAAAGTCAAGATATACGACATCAATGTCTTGTCCCTTGTCCAGGTGATAGGTCACCTGGTCATAAAAGGAAATAAGATTGGCCAAGCAAGACATACCCGCAACAAACCCGTGCTGGCTATCCCTCAGGATGCTGCCATCAGCCAGTCTGTTAAGAATGGTCTCTTTGATAAACTTTTCTAAGACCTTCCCCAGGATAGAGGTCAGGCTGATGGGCCTGTAATTTGCCAGATCCACTTTCCTCCCTTGAAGATAGGCACCACATTGGCCTTCTTCCAGTCTTCAGACACTTCACCAGAGCTCCAGGAGTTCTCGAAGATCCATGCCAGGGGCTGAGCTGTGATGCTTGCCAGCTCCTTGAGTATCCTGGGGTGTAAACAGTCAGGGCTGGCTGACTTAAAGGTGTCCAGGCTCTCAAGGTGTTCCTTCACAAGGTCAGCATTGATGGAGGGTAAGGAATCACCCTCACCCAGGTGCTCCTGTCCTGTAATGGGCAGAGGCGCCCCTTGGCACTGGTGAAAAACCAATGCAAAGTACCCATTAAGCAAGTTGGCTTTTTCCTGGGCATCAGTTGTCAGTTGTCCCATCTTGTTTAGCAGGGGTCTGACGTTGCCCTTGCTTTTCCTCCGGCTCCCCACATATCTAAAAAAGGACTTGTTATTGTCCTTGATACTGTTGAGCCCCAGCTCAAGTCTGGGATCGTGCCCGGTATGCAAAAGCCAATAAAGATACCAGGGGTGAAAGTATAAAGATTTATTGCTAGCAATACAAGGTGCAAGCGGAATAATTTCACGTAACAAGCACACAGATTCTTAATTCTAAGCATCTTTTATACAGGAGTATTGGACCTTCATAAGCATTCTTGTTTGCTAATTGGTTATAAGGGAGTGACGCAAGGAGTTCTTTACTGAGCATGTCTCTATACCTGTGTTTTAGCTATGTATCTCATTTACATACATGTATGTTTCATTAGCATACCTTCTCCCCACCTAGGGGTGTGAATCTTAATATTTAAATCAGCTCTTTGCCCTACTCCACTAATTCTGTTTTTGTTTTCAAGTCTCCTTTATCTAAGACTGTCTTCTCCTTATCATTGCAATTGAGCATTAGTTACAGAACAGAGACTTTTGCTTGGGCTATGTGTAATGGTTTCTAGGTCAAACCTAACAGTCACAGCTGGAGATATTCCGAGCTGGAAATATGGAGAGCTGGAGATAGGTAGACATGGAGATATTCACAACGCAGGAGGTCCACTAGTTACCTGCAGAGCCAAGGGGGCTGCTGTGCCAAGGGAGCTGCTGTTCCCTTTTGCTGTCACTATCCGGCTTCTTGTCTCATTGTCCTTCTTTACTTGTCTGCCACACCTTGTTGAAACACATATATATAAAGAAAGAGAGAAAACAGAGGTTGGGAGGTGGTATTACAATCAGGATAGCCGTACTGGGAATATTCACAGGGCTCCTCCATTCCCTACCCCTTGTCCTGACCACATCTGTGATGTTCTGCGCATCCTGGTTTCTCCAGGTGCTCTCTCTCTCACCCCCTCTTCCTTGGCTCGGGCTGTTCTCACAGCCCAGCACTGCTAGCAAAGCTACCAGCTGTCGGTTGGTGGTCCTACTGTTGGGCTCTTATTTCTTTAGGGCCCCCACACACATCTGATCTGCTTGGCAGGAATCCTCACCACCTTAACAATAATCCTTTTTCTGGGTCCCGGGCTCCCTCAGAGCAGTTTGGGCAACACCCCAAGCCCTTCTTCCCAGCAACCGGCTTTTCCTGCATTTCTTCCCTCAGGGAAAGCCCCCCACCCCACCCTCCCTGTCAGTTCCTCTCACTGGTTTCGCCATTCTTCACCCCAAAGAGGATTTCAGTGTCACTTCCCAATGATCTGTGCACTCAGGGTTTCTTCTAGCTCTCTGGCCGGTTGAAGCTACAGCTCTGTGTGATCTCTGCTGTTCCAGGAGTCCCCTCCCTGGGCCCATGAGTCCTGGGGCTTGTGCCTCCTTTAACTTCTGGCTCCATCAGCAGAAGCCAATCTGCTCTGTTCTGCCCCGCACATGTTCTCCTGCCGGGGAGGGACTCAGTAGGGAACAGCTGTGTTCCCTGCAGCTTGTGTGGTCCCTCAGTGGCCCAGCCCCTGGTAATTTTCCCTTCCCCACCTCCAGCTAGCATGTCTATTTTCCCAGTAACAGGAACTGGAGTGGGTGCCCTGTTACAGCCATATAGAACCATTGCCAGAAGCTTTTCAGAGTCCTCTTGATGAAATGAAATATGATTTTTGTTAAGCCACAACAATGTGCCCATTCTTTCACAAAGCATGAATGCAAAGATAGAGTCTGTCCCAAAGTGATATTTAAAGTAGACATGGAGAAGACAAGATGCAGTGAGAGACTGTAGCAGGATTGAGCCCCAGAGGTGGCCGTGGTGCCCCCTGGTGACCTCATGACTCCTGCCTTGCTCTGATTTTCTGAATACCTTCTCTCTTTTACCCACTTGCCTGCCACACCTTGCTGTTATAATCTTATTAGGAAAAAGGGAGGCTGCCTAGAGTCCCAGAGCAAGCTCTCAAATGTTAGGTGGGCCCGCCTGGCCTGTCCATGACCCAGGGCACTAACTGCCTGAATGGGTAAGCTCATGGTCTCTGACCTCCCCTACAGCTACACCCATGCCTCACAGGTGTTACCAATCATCATGTAAGTCAGCACTTTTGATACTACCAGGCTACCTCAGGCCTCTGCTGCCTTGTTGGGGGCTCAGCCTTCCTGGCCTCCACCCCTCTGCTCTAGCTGATCCCTTTTTAGCCTGGACCCACTATACTGGGTCTGGCTTCTTGGGCTCCAGCACTAGTCTCAGCCTAGTGGGCTCTGGCTTGGCCCTTCCTGGGTACTGGGCCCCCTGTCCCTGTTTTGGGCTGAAAACTCTGCCTGGTCAATGCCTGTCCACACATTAAGCCTAGCCCCTGGCAAGTCTCAAAGCAATCACGTGCCCCTCAGGCACTGCTGGGACCTTGGTCCACCAGTATAAACCATAACAAAAGAGTTAGCTGACTGTCTGTAACCCAAAGCTGTAAGCATGCTGGCTACATAGTAAAGCACTTCTCATCCTGGGATTAACTCCTCATAAAATCTCAGCCCCTTAATCACAATCCCCATAGTCACTGGGTCTCGGTTCATGGCCCAAGCTACAGCCATCTCAGGGAAGAGCTCCTTTCCTGGGAGCCTGCCCAGCCGGACCTACTCCCTGGCTCAGGCTTTGAGCTTATATCTCTCAAGCCCCACCCTCGTCGGTCATGTGGCTCCCCAACCACACATAAGCGTCTCTGATTGGGCTTGCTGGCTGGCTAATCTGCCATGGTAGCTTCTTGCTGCCTGACTGGCCTGTTTTCCTTACTAGGGCTTGACTCAGCTGCCTATGGACTTGCCCTGTTTGCAGTTTACAGCTTTGCAACTGCTACTCCCCAGAACAGCCACAATCTGCGTAGCTACAAGTTTGCCTGAGGGTTGCCATGTGGTCTATTAGCAGCTGAATGTTAGCTACCTGCCTGCCTGGAGCCTGCTCAGATTACTGTAGATTCTCTTAAAGTAATTGGTGCTCTCTGGCTCCCTATTACACAGACCCAGTTGGGAGCAGGGAGTTCAGGCTCTCCGCAATATTTCTGGGTATGCTGTTCACCAACTCTATCATGCAAAATGTAGAGACTCCTGGCAGCAGTAACCTGAACTTAGATCTCCTTCCTCCAGTTGAGTATCCTAAACACTAGGCTAGAGAATTAGGCTCTCTCTTCCTTGTTTGCTTTCTTCCCCGTGAATTTTACACTTCTGACTTCTCAGAGGGTCAGCTTCAACAAAAGAATGGGCAGGATGTCTTGATGCAGACATTTCTGTAACTTGGTAGTTATAGGACTCTCTTGCAACAAGCAAGTTGTGAACTTGAATCCCTTTAGGCCAAGAAGGATAAGAACCCAGTATCCCACTTCCTGGGGAAGTGTTGTAACCACTAGGCCATTTTACAACTGGCAGATAGCAAAGCAGGAGCAGCACTATGATAGCAACCATAGTTGCTGTTCTTCATACTGAACTCATGGTTGTTTCTTGCATATTAATCATGCTTTAAGCAAATCTCTTAGATGGGGCCCCTCCTGGGACTAATATGCTGCTCTGCCTAATACCCTGAATCACAACAGAAGCTAAATTGGAGCTAGAGCCCGGCTGCTCACAGTTGGGGGCTTCCATATGCAGTCTGACTAGATACCAAGAGACCTTTGTGATCCAAAATGAAGGTGCTGGATGAACCCCAACTCTTTTTGCTGCTGCTGAGCGTGGGTTTTCCCCAGCATTTTTTTGGACAGAGTTGAAATTTAGGCATCTAACTCCCATCTTACATCCCTAAGATGTGACATATGCCCCCTCTCCCCCACTCCCCCACACCGCCATTATAAAATTAACTTATTCTAGGCATAGGAGAAAGCATTGGAGAAGGCACAGTGACAGGTGTGGCAGAAAGAAACAGACAACTCCACTATCACATTCCCACTGGGAAGGTTGCCACAATCTGAGGACTGAACAATGAGCTATTCACAGGACTGCATCAGAGGGAGGAAGGGAGAGCAGAACCAGTTGTGCAACTTTTGGATTGGCTACCAGCTAGTATAATAGGAATTTTAATAGCTATATAAATGCACACAGTGCAATTTTAGACGAGAAGATTAATGGGAAAGATTTTGATGGAGAAGTGTGTGACCTAGTCATTAGATCAGGAGTTGGCCTTTGGGAGACATGGGTTTTATTTCTGAGCTGTCACCCATTTGCAGTACGACTTGGGTAAATCATTGAAATCCTCTTTACCTCAGTTTCTGTATCTGCAAAACAGAACCCTACACATTTTCTAAAGCAATTTACTTCCTCAAATAATGGGCTAGAAAGTTACAAGTCATTATCCACATTCAATCTCTCTCATATTTGCATTTATAAAACATGCCTATCCCAGACTTTATGTATCTGTTCAAACAATCCTGTGGGCTTATTAAATAAAAAATGACTAATTCCTGTTTATCTTTCAGTCTCAATGGTTAAGAAAACTGCAGGTTTGCTCAGGGCTCAATACTGCAGTACCAAAATGAGATCCAGAGTTCAAAGAATAAAAATACTGAACTTTTTGCTCATCCACAGAGGTATAAAGAAGCGGTTCTCAACCCATGGGTCACAGGAGTGTATGGGTTGTGAACAAACTTAAAAAATGGATCAACAAACTTTAAAAACTGATTCTCCTTTAAAGGAGGAAAATGTGGGAAACCGTGGCTCCGTGGCTTTTCTCTTGCAGGCTGGTGGAGTTCCAGCCTGCAAGGGGATGCTTGGGGCTCCCCATTCCCCACACACATCCCACCATGCCCCACACTTCCACCCCCTGCCCCACACACTGGGGAGCTGGGGGTGGGGGCAGTGGGTCAGGAGTGAGGGGCACTGGGTTGAGACTGGCCATCGATGTTTATAAACGGGTACAAAAAAAGGTTGAGAACCACTGGTACGAAGTACTGTCTTATGCATCATGTCTCATCATCATCTTTCTGGAGAATAGACTCCTAGGAGATTACACATTACAGGTAGCAGGTGCTAATTCTGAGGAACGTTAGCCTGTGTTAAGGTTACACTAGTGCTCAGTTACACTTGGGGGCTAAGTACAGATGGTTAAAAAGCCTGAGGCTCAATCGATTCAATCTGCAGCCAAATGCCGGGCCACAAGCTGATGGGTGCTCCAGCTCAGCTCTCTGCTCAGCTGGAGCAGACAGCTTGGGCCAAGTCTAGCCTGCCAACCGTTCAAGGAGGGGAGGGTTTGCAGGCGAGGTGCAAAGCATCCCAGGATGCTGGGGAACTGTGAGTTAAACTTGCATCTGGCACAGATCTGGGACAGAAGTTCAATAAACTGATTTACGTTAAATCAGTTTAAGTCTAATAATACATACATCCAGGCTTAGCTTAAACCAGTTTCGGCCATTTTGAAAGCAGGTTATGTGCACTAAACTTCTGTTGTATTACAGATTTGAACCAGTTTCCAATCACTTATACTGATGTGTGTGTAATTTCCATCCCTAGCCCTGGGACAATTGAGGTTAATACCCTCTCTAATGTGTACTGCACAGGCCTGCTGCTGGAGGGCTGGCAAGCAGGGACATGGTTGGGGCTGCAAGTCTGCTCCATGCCTGCCCTGCTTGCCAGCTCCTTAGCCACAGTATAGGCTGTGGAGTAGTGGGGAAAGAG